AAATGTAAACATCTATGTTTAGTGAACTTTGCAGTGTTGCTCTGTGGTGCAGCTACGACACCGTAGCAAAGTTTACACACTGTGTCTACTTGATCCACGTCTGACTGAACCCATAATGTTTCCACACCACTGAAGGTTTTTACCTCTTTTCAACGGCCGTCACTCTCCTCTCCAAATAACTTCTGCTTAGCTTTCCGAGCTTCCCTCGGGTCCTCTTATTGTTGTGACACGTGTTCGAAATGCAGAGAGGTGCGCTCGATTTGCCACACGGAGCAGCGCGAGAGTAAAGCACGAGGGAGGGGCTAATAATCGGCTCAGTCATTTTTAATGATCGTTGAAAGCCCAGATTGTAATCGAGATTAAAATTCGATTAATTGAGCAGCGCTAGTCAGAGTGTTACTGTGTGTGAAGTCATTTCCTGTCTCTCTCTCAGGCAGCAGTGTGTGGCCACCGAGGAGAGCCCGCAGGTCTTCTTCTGCTGCTGTGAAGGAAACTTCTGCAACGAGCGCTTCACCCACCTGCCGGACATCACCGTGCCACGTGAGTGCCATCTGATTGGTCCGTTAGCACGTGTCACCCGTGTCTTCTCCTCGTATCATTGTTTGTGCTTCATGAGGTCGTGACTTCAACAGGTGGTGTCATGGGTGCCTCCTCCATCTTTTATGTACAGTCTTGATATACTGAAACCCGTCGGCAGGTTTCCTCGCACCAGACTGTCAGGGGCGTTTCCAAAGTTACCATGGTAACCCAGCGCCGATAAAGTCCTTTTAAATGTAAATGCAGTCTTTCTGTGTGTGTCAGTGATCAAGGCCCCGCCCCACAGCGTGGGTGTGTTAAACGTGATGATTTACTGCCTGCTGCCCGTCACCATGCTGTCTGTCGCTCTGCTCACCACCGTCTGGATGTACCAACACCGCAAACCTCCGTATGGACACGTGGACATTGCCGAGGTGAGCCTCAGACACTCACGCTTACCTTTTGATGAAACGAGTAGAAGTACTCGGTTACTTTGACCTGCAGACCGGAGCTGATGACGTCAGTTTGACTCTGCAATGCTGAGACGGCTCCATCTGCTGGTGGTCTGCAGGCACTGCAGCAGGAAACATCTCAAACGAGGGTTTGTCACCACATCGTGGTTCCTCATATTGAACTGTAAAACATGGCCAATCGGTCTGATAGGGCGAGAGGCGGGATTCACCTGAACAGGTGGCCCGTGTATTGACAGCACTCTCACCTGTGGTTCAGTTTTTATTCATACAGCACCAAATCACAACAGCAGTCGCCTCGAGG